ACCACCACGGCACAATGCCTCACGTGCTACCCCACACCCCACCGCTCTCACTCTTTCCAAAACTGCCACGGACGCACCACACCTACAAAACCAAAAGCAAAACAAACAAAAAGGAAGAAGATCAGCACAAACAAACAAACTCCTCGAAGGAAGACACGACAAAAAAAACTCAAAAGAGAGAAGGAAGAAGGGGCCACACTCAACACCGCGTCTGCGTGTGTTCTTGTTGGCTAGCTTTGTTTGTGTAATGCTGCGGAGATGCCAACTGTCACGCTGTCTCGTGCAGTACGCCGCCCTCTCGGCAACCGCGGGGAAGCTCAATACACTGCTGGAAATACCCACAAAAGGGCAACGGACGCCGCGTGAGGTACTCAAGCAGTTCATCCGCGCCGAAGTCATGCCGCTGCTGCGCGGCACCACTTTGGACCGGCGCCACGACAGTGCCGAGGTGCGCCGCTCCTTGAGTCAACTCTTGCGCGACGCTTCCTTCGCCGCCGTCGTGCTACACGCGAGCCCCAGCGGGGCGTACGTCAGCACCCTCGTCGAGTGCATCAAACACGACCACACGCGCATGCAGTTTATCCACAAGATGACATCCAATCAGGCAAGTCGCGTGATTCAGCATCTGTGCCGCCTCGGCGTCCGGGACGGTGGCGTCTACGCTCCGCTTGTCGCTCGTTTAGACTTCAATGTGTTAAAGGAGGTGGCACGCGCGATGTTTGCCTTGAATGATGAGGGGCTGTACCAGGAGACGGTATCGCTCATCGTCCCGCTGTACTGCGGCGAGACGTGGGTGCCCGTGTTTGAGGGTGGTGAGGGCTACACAAAGCTGCACAACAAAAGCTGCAATGTGTTCGATGCAGTGCGTCTCTTGAGCGTATTGTCCAAATCCGTGCGCGGGGTGGTGGAGCAGCGGCGCCGCGACGAGGCGGGGAGTGCAGCGGCGCACCCGCTGCCAGTGGAAAGCATCCAGCGGCTGCGCACAAATCTAACTGTATTCATCGTGCAGAACGAGAGTCTCCTCCGCGGGGGACACTGGATCAACTTCACCCGCGCTATGGTGCACTTCCCACATGAGTTAAAGACGATGAAATACCTGGAGCAGCACCTCGTGGTGGTGCAGGCAGTGGATGCACTGCAGCTGCCGCATCGTGTGGCCCGGCGCCGCCTGTCGGATGTGCTCGAAACAGACGACTTAGCGGCTTTCGGCATGGACCGCGTCTTTCTTCCGGTCGAGCGGCAGCAATGTGAGACCTCGTGGGGCGGTAAGGGCCAGAAGAACAGATTTGACGTGCCATCGATTGATCTGGCAAAGCTTCTATCCATTATTGAGCAAGTTCCGCTGCCCAAGGCTGTCCAGCAGCGGCGCCTTGAGATTGTGATTCGGGCCATTGTAGACGACATGGATTCGCTCTCATTTGCCGATTTAGTGCGGTTCCTTCATGCCCTCCGCCAGATTGAGGGCTCCGCCCCTTTTGCGTCGACGCTCGACGCCGCGACCGCAGCAATTAGTCGGACACTGGCGGAGGAGGCCGGCGCCACGCACACGCGCATCCCCTATGTGCGTCTTGTGCAACTAGCAACACTTATCAACGCGTTTCGTGTAAAAAGCTGCAGGGGCTTCGTCACGTACCTCGATCATTTTTTGCCAACCATGCGTTTCATGTCAGTGGAGGACGCGACGTCCTTTATGAACGCGTTAGCTGCAATTGGTGAGGTGGATGGGGTGGAGCTGTGTGCGCATGTCGGCGCACAGATCCTTGACAAGGTGAGTCTCGATGGCGACGGGGACTCCACGGCCCTGCTTCTGTCGTACCCTTTGTCGTGTACAAAACTTCTGCGGGGCGCCGTGCTGCTGGGCACGGCGCCCTCGTCTGATGCTGTTGTACGCATTTTCGGCGGTTCGGGAAAGGCGCTGAAGGTGTCCTCTGCTCTTCGAGCTGCTGGGGCCTCAGTGCTCTTCGACGTTGCACGCTCGCTCTACCACTTCTGCCGTATGAAGAAGCCGCTGGATGCGGTGTGGGAGGAGATGCTGTGGTCGCACGGCGTTGTGGGCGCTCTGTTGCCGCTCCTGGCCCAGCTGACGTGCGAGTTCCGTGATGAGCTCGTGGCTGCGGGTGGCGTGTCGTCGAGGCGAGCCACGTATGTACCGCTGGCATGGCGCAGCACGATGGAGGCAGTTTTTCCGTATGTTGACGTGAATTTGGATGTTGTGTCCTTGCCGACGATGCAGCAGCGTATCGGAGAAATCTTCCCATTCTGCCGTGAGATCTTGACGATGGCGATAGGCATTGCGGCGATGCAGCGCCAGGCCCTGCAGCAAGGTCGCCAGGTGGAGCCGCTCGCCTTCTCGTCGAACGGCATCGTCCATCTCATGTCGTTTGTGCTGATGTTTGAGCACCTGCTGTACCATGGCACCTGGCAAGCGGAGATTGGCGGTGGTGCAGCGGCAGGGGCGGGTGCGAGGGAGAAGATGCGGGCATTGAAGGAAGACTACAACTCGCTTCTCACAGCTCCTGTGGGTGTGGAGGACGACGGAAAAGGAGTTACGGCCATAACGCTCATGAATGGCCTGTTCCCATCCAAGGGTGAGCAAGGTGCGCCGCGCCGCATCTTTGATCGTGGCAGTATTCTTGAGATCACCACGAACCTCCCCTTTGCCGTGTCGCTGGCGGTGAGTCAGGGGCCTATCAATGAGTTGTTCTGCGAGCGGGCGGTGGCGGCCATGGTTGGCGGCGATGGTTGACGGAGTGGGTGTCGGACGGAGAAACAAAAAAAAAAGACAGATGATGGCGGGGAAGCGAAGGAGGGAGATGCGCCTTTGTGTCTTCTGCAGCATTCCTCTATCGTGAGGAGGAGACGAAGTTTGAGATGGAGGGTGCCTGTGTGTTGTGTGTCCTCCGTTAGTACCGTCTTTCCACTTCACGGCGGTATGTGCTCGCCTTTTGTTCAGTCTCTTTTTGGTGTTGTTGTCTTTGGCCTCATCTTCTTTGTTCCTGTTGTTGTTTTTCTTTTTTGCCTTGACTGGTGCTGTCCGTCTCTGTGGAAAAGGAGCGACACTCATGTCTCGTGCGACGTCGTACGGACGTTACACGCCGGCGGGAGAGCACGTTGACCGCCTCCGTTGGCGTTTGCGCTCTGGCGCCATGGCCCGGTCGCGCTCCGCCATCACGCGGACGGAAGTTCTGGAGCAGATTGTTGACGTTGGCGAAGGAGTTACGGCGAACATGTTCGAGCAGCTTCTGGCCAGGCTGGAGCAACACGGACTCCGCCGCTGCCTCGCCGACGAGGCGAACGACATCGGTGCGGCTGCTGCTGGTGATGATGGTGGTGGTAGTGGCAGTAGGGGGGGCGAGCAAGCGGAGGGACACCACATCCATGAGGTGTCACGGCCCTTGTCGGAGCAGCCCGAAGGTGACGCGCGGAAGCCGTACTACTACTTGTGTGTGCCGTGCGAGCTGCGGCTGACAGACGTCTTGATGTCAGCGGCGACGCTTGCGATGTTGCAGGACGCGCACTACCACTTCTCCTCCGCGGAGCATCGTCGTATCGCGTCGTGGATGGGCGAGACGGACATTGACTGCACGCTGCAGACCTCCTCCGAGCTGGACCCAACGGCCTACGCACGTATCCATGTGAACGGGGTCCCGATGCTGCTCTCGACGCGCCCGGGGGGAGGCGACATGTTCTTTCCGCTTCCACATGAGGTGCGGGAGCGCGATATCACTGCGCTGTCGGGCGCGGGTGAACCGCTGCAGTTGGCCTCTTCGGAGCCTCACACAGAGGTATGGAACCAGCCGTTGCGTTCCATCTTCACTGGGGCGAAGCAGCTGCTATACACCGCAGAGGACCGTGAAGAGGTCTGCGTGATGCACTTTCCTTCTCTGGCCTGTCGGCGGAGCTTCACTGTAGTGCAGCACATCCCCATGGAGGTGTACAGGGAGGAAAGCTTTGTTGGATGTGCCACGGTGCCGGCACTCTTTGAGGTTGCTCAGAAACGCTTGCTGAAGGAGGAACGAAATCCCGCGAGCAGTGGCGGTTTCCGAGTCGGTTATGCCGTTGCCGAGAAGCCCACTATGATCTGGCAAGAGGACGCCGATCCAACATCGAGTCGTACCGTTGTGCGACACGACGGCATCTACCGTATTGTGCTGCTGCATTCAGATTTTGCGGCACGCCTGATGTCTGAAGGAGATCAACACGATGGTTTGATGCAGACAAGCATCAAGGAGGACAAAAAGAGTCAGATGCTCACGGCCGAGGCGTTAAGTCAATTCCGCACGGCCTCCACTGGAAGGGCGTTTTGCACTGAGCTGAATGCATCCGAACTGAGCAATAGTGGCATGTGGAGCCGCTCGGAGGAACCATCTGATGTGAGCAGCTGATGGCCAAGTGTCTCTTCATGTCTTGTTGCTTGCGGTGTCTGGGTGCACGCGCGCTTGTGGCACCCTCCTTCCGCGTGGTTTCGTTTCTACGAGAGCCGCAGTTTGTGGGCCCCCTTCACGTTTTCTTCCCCTTTGTTCTATTCCTTTTTTTTCGCCTTGCGCTCCGAGATCATTGCTCTGCTGCGCAAGGGTCTCTGCGATTCTCTTTCCATTACCGCTGCTTTAGCGGTCGATTCTTTTAATGCTGATATTCCTTTTTTTTGTTGTTGTTGTTGTTTGTTTGTTTCTTTTTGCGTTATGGCTTTATTAATTTTCTGTCCTCGGTTGCGGCAGCATCGGAAGAAAAGATGTTGGGAACCTGTAATGTACGCATGGTGTCGACTCCGTTTGGCATCAACGGACTGGAGTGCTACGATGGGGGTGCAAATGTATCAAAGTCACGTGTGCTCAGCCGCACAGCAGCGCAGAGCCCCGTCCCCTCTGGAGGGGTGCGCAGACTGCGGCAGATGAGTTCGCAGCAGACTAAGGGCGTCTCCAATATAGAAAAGCCCACCTTCATGGCCTCCCTGCACCACAAGGGAAAGATGCTGGTGTGGGATGCAGACACTATCGAGGTGGTTGGCATGTGTGACCACCACGGCTGCTCCGTCGCGCAGTGCATTGTCACACCGACCTATGTCTTTGTGCGCGTGGAGAACGAGGCGGGGTTCGACAATGAGGAGGATTCGAAGGTGTACGTGTGGCACACCAAAACATTTGAGCTGTATCGTCGGCTGGTAGCGCACGACGGCCGCGTTACGTCCATTGTGGTGAGTGATCAAAACGACTCGTGTTTTGCGACAGCCGGCATCGATCACGCCATACATCTGTGGGACCTAACCAAGAACGTCATGGGGCCGGTGCGCAAGATCTCGGTCGGTGGCGGTGCCACCGTGCTGCTGTACTTCAGCGGCATGATCCTTGGCGGTTTCACGCAAGCGCCACTGATGGCGTGGGATGCCGAAACGGGAGAAGAGGTGCTCCGTGTAAAGGACGGCACGAGCGCCGTGACGGCGGTGCGCTGGCTGCACGATCCATCACGCGTGACAAGGCGCCCCGGAAAGTCGCACCAGCGCTCCGCGGCGCTGCTCATCGGCTACAGTGATGGTTTCGTGAAGCAGTGGTCCGTAGAAGCGGGTGCAAAGGCATTATCCATGTCTATCAAGTGGGCAAACAAGGTCCACCGAGCGCATGTTACCGATGTGTGTGGCGATGACGATGTAGTGCTCAGCTGCAGCACGCTCGACGGTGCATTCCTGTTGATGCCCTCACGTGGTCAGGTGGCCCCGCTGGTCTCGTATGGCGTGCGTGTCGCTCTACTCGACACATGCTCCAAGAACGCAGTGATTGGGGTGGACGATGGATCGGTGGAGGTCATTTCCTACAGTGACTTTGCGGCTGGACTTGGGGAGCCAGCGGTGATTGCTTCCTTCCGTCCCCACACGAGTGGCGTCACGGGGTTGTTTCTCCAACTCAGCGAGGACCTCTCGTGGGATCGCCTCATCTGCAGTGGTGCCGATGGCACGATTGCATTTATGGACTACTCCAAGGTCCGCGGTGGACGCTGGCTTAAGGGAATGGGTGCGCAGTCGGTGGATTATATATCAAACGGCGGTGCCATCCTTATTCCTAAAGCAGCGAACGGGGGCATTTTTGTCATTGATCCACTGGATATTCTCCCCTTTGCCACGCAGCCAAATGTGCAAATAACACAAACAATTACATCAGTACGGTGGTCAGAATCCACCAATAAGCTGGTGCTGGGCTCTGATGAAGGGATGCTGATGGTGTTTGAGGGTACCGTCGCTGAGGACCGTACCCCTTCTTTTCACAAAATTGAACAGCGGCATCTAAGGCCATACTTTTCGCGCAGCATCTTTCTCAGCGAGCCCGATGGCTCCTTAGCTGTGGTGAACCTGCAGAAGAACTATTTATCATATGAGGGAGGTTTTATGATCGTTGATTTGAAGGGGGCAGACTTGATGTTTCCTGTGCAGCCACTGATGAAAATGTTTCCCATCCGCAGCAGTCTGGTCACATTTCAACGGTCCGAAGCCTACGACTACGCCGTTGTTTTGCAGCTCCGCGATGGTTCCATTCTACAATATGTTGGAAATTCGATTCGCAAGACAACGCCCGTCTTTGTGCGAACATTAGTAGAGCCTTTCCTGGCAGACGTTCTTCAGATGGAGTTGAGTGGGCTCTCTGTGTACCCAAGTAATTATGTCCTTGATGTCCTTCCGACCGTTGGCGGTGTGGTGGACCTGCTCCTGACGTATGCCAATGACACCGTGATGACGCAATTGAAATTTAGCGCTGTGCCAGGCGGTCCATTGGATAGTCACATCTTTGCTAAAAAGAACTCCGCTGCTATTGGCGGCCCCTTCTCAAGCGAGACAGAGATGGTGGTGAGCCTGCAGGCCATTCACCAGGGTGATCTCGGGTTTGCCATACTGCGGGATTCACCTTCCGTGGACATCATCACTACCGACGGGGAATACCTCTACCGTATCTCCTACGAGGGTAACGTGCGGAGTTATCAGGCGATGAGCTACCGGCGGCGCTCACGCAGCTTCCCGTTTGACACTTCTGTACTAAATAACAACACGTCGCTTGCGCCTGACTCCTCTCCCGCTGCGTGCGCCGCAGACTTCTGCGCGGAGGCACGCTACCTCGCCCTTGGCTACCGCGACGGCATGGTACAGCTCTTTGACACCACACAGCAGATCATATTTACCCGATTTGCGGTGCATACTTCGATGATTTCCGGCATTTGGGCATTTCCGCACGCCGTGATATCAGCAACGCTTGGCGGTGATTTCCACGGAGGTGCTGTTTTCCGCCGTGTTATGTTTGACGACACTGACAGTAAGGGGCCCTCGCCGGACTCATCTTTGATGCTACTTCGGCGAACATCAGCGAGCGTTTCTGTAATAGGGCCTTGATAGGAAGTACCGCCCTGACAACAACGACGACGATGACCGCGTAGGTATTAGATGCATGGATGTTTTTTTCATTGCAAGTGAGGCAATTTTCTGAGGACAAATAATTTGAAAAACGGCAGGGGTGGGTGTGTGTGTGTTCGTAGTGTCTGCACTTTTTTTTTTAATTTGCACATAAACAGATGATATTGCGGTTTTTAGTTGCGGTATGTATGGATGCATGGAACCGTTTTGCCTTTTTCTCTTCGCTACCCTTTCGGCTGGGAGTGGCCGTGGGCGTTTGTGCACAGTTTTTTTTTTATAGAGGTGCGAATGGAAACCGAATATAACAGCGTCTCGGAAGGGCAAGGGAATCTCTGTATGTATATGTGTGTCTGTGTGATCCTCTTATAACCATTTTTCCCCCTTTTCTCTCTCCTCCCGCCGTGTGTGTGTGAGAGAGCGTAAGTGTGTGATTCCTTGCGTCTGTCCTTTGTGAGGAGAAGTGGGAGGTGTAATTCTCGTTCTTCTTTTGTTGTTGTTGTTGTTGTTGGTGTTGTCATTGTGAATCGCGATAGCAAAGGACTGATCGTCGAAGCAAAAGGCGAGGCACGGTTGCAAGAAGGAGGAGGAGGAGAAGAGGATAAGTAAACAAAGAAAAAGGTTTCCGGGGAGATAACAGGGAGCTGCAGCAGCGGAGGATGGCGTACACACAGTCTCGGTCAATGAAGAAGGAGTTCGCGCTCCCCATGGTGCCGGGCATGACGTGCGGCGAGGAGATGCTGCGCCGAAACTACCACCGCACACAGATCAACGGTCCAAAGTACGACACCATGACGTCCTTCAAGAGCGTCCCCATCGACATGACGGCGAGCAACATGCAGACAATGTCGTCCGTCGCGAAGTACGCTTCTGGCATTCCTGTCGACGGAACGGATGCGGCGCAAGGGACCATGGGCAGTACGCAGAGTGCCGTCGATCTCACCGGGCGTGTGCTGCGCTTCTACGGATACACGAAGGAGCAGGTGCCGGAGAGCTCCCTCGAGTGCGAACGGCTGCGAAAGGTCATCTTCCACGTCTTTTTGGAGGACAACACGATGAGCGTGACGGAGCAGTGCGCCGACAACTCCGGATTCGCCTTCCCCGCTTCGCTGAAGCGCCACATTGTGCCGCTACCGGACGGCACCCCTATCACCTTTGCGCACTTCCGCGTCGGCGATGTCATCAGTTTCTACGGCCGCACGTACATGGTGTACGACGCCGACAAGTTCACGCGCGACTTCTACAGCCAGGCGGGTGTCGAGCTCGCGCCGCCGCAGGAAGTGCCGTTGGACGCGTACACACGGCTTCGTAATCGCCCGGTGGCGAAGGCGCACGACGTTCGCTCCATCGCCGCCGACAGTCCGCTCAACAACATGCTGTTGCCGGAGCAGGTGCGGGCGTCGCAGCAGTTCCTCGCGCACGACGGCGAGGTGCTGCGCTGCGACTGCGTCTGGGACGACACGGAGGCGCTGCATGGGGTGAAGCACTACTTCACGCTGTACTACTTCCTCGCCGACGGCAGCATCGCGGTGGTGGAGAAGGACTTCCCCAACAGCGGTCGCGACCCGTTCCCCCGCTTCTTTCGTCGTCAGCGCGTCGCCAAGCCAAAGGACGGCATGAAGTTTGACCCGCAGTCACTTGGCTCCCTCACCTTCAAGGAGGATGCCAACACAGTGTACTATACGGATGAAGACATACGCATTGGCAACATTTTAAATCTCTTCGGTCGCGACGTGTGTATTCACGATTACGATGAGTACACGCGGAATCACCTCCGCAAGAAGTTCGGCGTTACGGCGTACGAGCCGATCCCGGGGGGAAAGACACCCGCAACAGTGCCGATTGGCTGCCGCAGGCGTGAGAAAACGGTGCAGGAGTTGGAGGAGGCGCAGGAACGCCAGCGTGCAGAGAACCGCATGCGGGAGTTCGCCGATGGCGTGGTGAAGTTCCTCATGCGGCTCGACAACACCAAGTACGAGGATGAGCTTCGCCGCTTCGTCCTCGCGGTGTACCCAGCCGACAACACCATCTCCATCTTTGAGCCGGTGCAGCGTAACAGTGGGATTGTTGGTGGAAAATTCCTCCAGCGTCAGCGATGCAAGCGGCCCGGTGGGGAGTTCTACACAGCGGATGACTTCTACGTCGGAGCGCGCCTGACGATCAACAATTTTCCCTTCATTCTCCTCTCCTCGGATGAGCACTCGCTCAACTACATGGAGACCAACTGCAAGGAGTTCAGTCGCTCCGACATTAATCAGGTCGTGCGCAAGCTCCGTGCCATGCTTGCCAGTAAACAAACGGGCTTAGCCAGTGCCTTCCACGAAGCGGACACGACAAACAAGGGCGGTCTTAAGATGGACATCTTTCTGAGCATCATGAAGAAGCTCTGTCTGGACATTTCCGAACAGGAGGTCCTCAGCGTTCTGCGGTACTTTGACAAGCACAACGAGTCGTACGTCTCGTACGAGGAGTTTGTGGGGCGTGTGATGCCAGAGGGTGCCGCGGTGGCCTCCGACGACCGCCCATGGGAGGCGATTGCCGCCGAGGACGCCGAGAAGGAGTCGGCTGCGTTTGTGAAGGACCCAAGCATCGACGAGGCGAGGCGCGCCAAGGCGCAGGAGACGGCTCTCGCAGCGCGTGCAGCCGCAGAGTTTTTAGAGTTGTACGACCAGCGCCGACAGCTCCTCTTGAAAGAGTTTCGCGCCGTCACAGACTACTCTGCGGAGAGTGTCGTGGGGCCGAACGAGTTCAAGATGTGTATTCGCAAGAAGCTGCAGATACACACCATCACTGACGCTGAGCTCAATGCCCTGTGTTCGAAGCTGTTCCCGAAGGAGATGCCTCAGCTCAGCTTGGAGGAGCTGGTGCGCGTCTTCAACGGCACTTCGACGCTGCCGCGGAACATGTACGAAATCCGGCAAGGCGTTTCTCGGTAGGCCTGCACAGAATCATGCCCTGTTAGAAGGGTGTCTGGAGGGTGGGAAAGAGCGAGCGAGAGAGAGAGAGAGAGAGAAAAAACACAAAAAGAAATTTAAAAAAGCCAAAGAGGAGAGGAGAGTGGGTGGGCGAGGTGATGTGAGGTGAGGAAAGTGGTGCGTTAGAAGCTCACGGGGTGAAGGATGCGTGTGTGGCTTTTTCTGCACGGCGGGGTGCACGCTTCTTCCCCCAGTGTTGAACTGTCATGTATAGATGTGATACTGTGCACATTGCGAACAGCGTGCATCACCAAATGGAAAAAAAACAGAGAAAAAGACCCCAGAAAAAGGGAAAAAAAGGATAGAAAGTCAATGTTTCTTTTTTCTCTACCATGTCAAACAACAGGGTGGTGTCTTTCCGTGAAATCACATGCACCCTTTGGCGCCAGTGGCGAGGGAGAGGGGGGATGCATGCATTGTGTTACGGGTGCCTTCTCTGTGCTCCTCTACGTATTGTATATATATATATATATATATATATATATATGCTTGTCTGTGTTTGTGTCTTTTCGTGTGTTCTCCTAAAGCATTGGTTTTTTAGTCATGATGCGCAAGTTCATGTTAGCGGTGGTTGTGCTTCTCGTCTCTCTCTGCGCGGTTTGGGCTCGTGCCGAGAGCAGCGGAAGCCCCACCGCCGTCGCCACTCGGTCTGTAGATGAGTGTCGCCGGCTTGGATTCCTAAAGGCGGACGCCAAGTGCCAGTACTGTCAGCCGCTGCTGCAAAAGACTGGCAGCGCGGAGATGCACGAGGAGTGTCTTTCCTGCTGCACCGTTGATGACCAGGCGCCGTCGCGCACGTATGCCAGCGCTCGCATCGAATTGAGAGGCCTTCATTCCGAGTTGGGGGAGACACGCAGCGAGCTCGGCATGTTCTATCAGGCGTACAAGGAGAAGTTTGGAAGGCGTTTGCAATGGGTCACCAAGCACACGGCATTCTGGCCGCGTCTTGTATTGCAGGACGAAGATGGTGGTGAGGAGTTGGAGATGAGCCTCATAGGATGGACGAAGGACGGTATGCACGACTACTTGATGCAGGCGCTTGGCATGGACAAGACGGCGGGGAGTTGACAGAAAGACGATACGGTGTTGGCTCGGTTCAATGTCGATGTGGATCCTTGCATCATACATACGGCTTCAATGTGACTTTATGTGTCGTCATTGTTTTCCATTGCCCTCTTTGCCACCGAGAACTTTTCTCATTCCTCTTCTTCTTGGCTCCGGTAAGTAGCTCTCAGCATTTCGGCTCATTTACTTTAGGGAATAAGAAAAGGCGGCTTGACATCATATCGTTGACCCGCACTACACAGGAATAGAAACGAAAGGTTGAGTGAACAACAAAAAAAAAACCAGAATATTGCCAGAATACTCTCTCTGGTTTAGCGAAGGAAGGCGGCGGTAAACACAAACATGATGCGTCATGCCTTCTGTCGAGGCATTGTTGCCATCCCGCCGCGTGGTTTCGCGCGGTCCTACACAGACGCCAAGACAATTCGCCAACCGAACAGGTTTGATCAGCTTGTAGACGCCCAGAACGAGGCATACATTGAAGGTCTATTGAAGCAGTACGAGAAGGACCCGACGCTGGTGGAGCGCAGCTGGATCCCTGTGCTGGAGAACATCAAGAAAGGCCCTGCTGATGAGCCCGTTGTACCCACCTTTCACCGCCCCACCTCGGGGCGCACACTGACGGAGCAGGAGAGGTTGCAAAATATGAGTCTTTCGTGGATGATTCGAGCGTATGAACGGAACGGGCACTACATCGCTGCCCTGAACCCGCTGTACTACACGGAAGCAGTTCGCCAGACCGCACTCCACCCCTCTGTACTGGACCCTGCCAGCTTCGGCTTCACTGAAGAGGATCTTCAGAAGGTCTTCCACGTGACTTTTGGGTGTGACTTTAAGGCGACCTTTGTTGGTGGCGGGACGGCACGCACGCTGAAGGATATCGTGGCACAACTGCGACGCATGTACTGTGGTCCAATTGGATTTGAGTTTATGTTCTCCGGTTACTTTGACCTCCGAAACTGGTTTCGCCAGGAGATTTTGAACACACTGACGCCGCTCGAACGCAAAGATCGCCTCAACATTTTTGACGATGTGGTGCGCAGCTGTGGCTTCGAGCACTTCCTGCAAATCAAGTACGCGACACAGCAGCGCTTCGGCCTTGACGGTGGTGAGGCGCTTATCCCGGCGATGAAGGCGGCGATTCAGGAAGCCAACGACCAGGGCGCCACCTCCTGCATCCTTGGCATGGCGCACCGCGGTCGCCTGAACGTGCTGGCAAATATTCTGCAGAAGTCGACGGTAAATATATTGGGTGAGTTTGAAGGTAAGGTGCCCAGCAACACGACGTCACACATCGGCGACGTCAAATATCACCTTGGGCATCGCAAATACGTGCCTCTTCGCAATGGAAGTTTCATTGATCTTGAGCTTCTGCCCAATCCGTCTCATCTGGAGGCGGTGAACCCGCTTGTTCTCGGCAAAGCCCGTGCACGGCAGGTGTATGAAGGCAAGGCGGACTCCTCAAAGACACTTCCCATTCTCATTCATGGTGATGCCGCTATCATGGGTCAGGGATCGTGCTATGAGACGATGGGATTCTCTGACCTCGAACAGTTCCAGGTTGGTGGCACATTGCACATCATATTGAACAATCAAATCGGTTTCACAACGGACGTCTGGGACAGTCGCAGCAGTACTTACTGCAGCGATCTTTCAAAGGTAAATAACGCACCCGTGCTGCACGTTAACGGGGACGACGTCGAGGCGTGCGTCCGCGCATGTCGTATTGCTGCACGCTTCCGCCAGGAGTTCCACCGCGATATCATCATTGACCTCGTCTGCTATCGCCGCAATGGCCACAACGAGGCGGATTTACCTGACTTCACCCAACCGCAAATGTATCAGGCGATCCGCAACCACCCCAGGCTGGTTGATGTGTATTCAAAGACTCTACTAAAAGAAGGTCTTCTGACTGAAGAGGTGGTCGCAACAAAGAAGAAGGAATACGAAGGGCAAATGCGTCAAGCACTCGAAGCCGCGCAAAGCTCACAGGATTTTGTCAAGGTAATGCCGTACTTCCAACTCGAGTCGGAGAATCAAGCCGAGATGCTCCAGCCAGCAGTGAGATCTACAGATGACATCCCTGCACCAGTGGAAACGGGTGTTGATATTGATGTCCTTCGAAGAGTTGGTATGCACATCACCACGATCCCCAGCGATGTAAAGAAGCCACACCCAGTCCTGCAGCGCACGTATGCGGCTCGCAAGAAAGCGATTGAATTGGGTGAGGGTGCAGAGTGGTGTCTGGCCGAGCTTCTCGCCTTTGGAACGCTTTCCTTGGAGGGGGTGAGCATACGTCTCACGGGCGAGGATGTTGAGCGAGGCACCTTCACACAGCGGCACGCCGCAGTGACCGATCAGGAAACCAACGCCAAATACATTCCCGTAGCTAATCTGTCAACGGACCAGGCACTTGTGACGATCTGCAACAGCAGTCTTTCAGAGTTGGGTGTGTGTGGATTCGAGCTCGGCTACAACGTTGAAAATCCGTCCAACCTCTGCATGTGGGAGGCTCAATTTGGTGACTTTGCCAATGGTGCCCAGGTTATCATTGACCAGTTCTTATGCTGTGGCGAAGAGAAGTGGGATTTGAAGTCCAGTCTGATCCTGTCGCTACCGCATGGTTACTCTGGAGCAGGTCCTGAGCACAGTTCCGCCCGAATCGAACGTTACCTACAGCTTAGCAGTGATACTGACTCGGTCCCGAATAATTTCCGTCAATCCTCTCCTGCACGTATGATGGAAGCCCGTATTCAGAAGTACAACTGGCAAGTTTGCTACCCGAGCACTCCAGCAAGCTACTTCCACATGTTGCGCCGCCAAGCGGTACGCACAGATGTTAAGCCCCTTGTCTTTTTCTTCTCCAAGGCACGTCTCCGCGCCCCCAACGTGTCCAATCTTTCCGAGATGGCGAAGGGCACCGCGTTTATGCCTGTCATTGACACTGCTGCGCGTAATGATGTGGTGGCACGCAAGGTTCTCTTCTGTACGGGTCAAATAGAGAGTATTGTGGATGACTACCGCAAAAAGCAATCTGCGCAAACGCCCGGTATACATGAGGATGTTGTGCTCGTGAAGCTTGAGCAGCTCTCGCCCTTCCCATGGGAGCAGGTCGCTGATGTCTTGGAGAAGTACCATGGTCGCAATCCGAACGTTCAGTTTGCATGGATGCAGGAGGAGCCGAAGAACATGGGTTCATGGGCGTACATGCGCCCACGCTTCCAGCGCCTCATGCGCCACCTCGGCATTGCGCAGAGTGGCGACAGCTTCACGTATATCGGTCGGTCAACCTCAGCGTCCCCTTCGACTGGTTACGGCTCCGTTCACGTGGAAGAAGAGAACAAGCTTATCGCTGAAGCATTGGCGTAGCTCCACCAGGAGGTGGAGGAGGAGGAGCGCATATATATTCACTAAAGGGCATATATATATATATATATATATATATACCTCAACACCTTTACGATTGAAGTATGAGGGAAATAACGAATGAAGACAAGAAAGGGACGTTGGGTGTATCCTGCAGCGTGCAAGGTGAAAGGAGAGAAGTATCGCCCTCTTTCCTTTTATTCTTCTTCGGTTTTTTTTGTTTTATTTGTGTGTTTTGTGTTCATAGCTACTTCTCTCCCTCTCTCTCTTTCGTATTTCATTCTCCCGTGAATGTGCATACAGCAATCGTGAAGAAGGGAGCGTGAGTAGTTGGGGAGCGAATGAGTGAGGGAAAGCGAGAGAAACAGAAAGGGGGTTTCTACTTGTTTTCTTTTCTGTGTGTGTCTGTGTGTCTGTGCTTGACGACTCGCCGCCGAGGTGCTGGAGTGTTTCACACTTCCATCTACCCATCCCGCGCTGCAGTTATTCCAGTTTGACGGCGTTGTTTTGTTTTGACATCTAGGTCGGGCGGAAGATAAGTGTGATCGTGATGATGATGCTGTTGTTGTAGAGGGTACGATTATCTTTCTACGGATATCTTTTTGTTTTATTTGCGCTGTCACTTGCCGCCACAGTGTTTCGTGCTCGGGTATGTGGTCTCAGTACATTCTGCAGTTTTTTTTCTATTCTCTCTCTCTCCCGTTGCGTTGACACACATTCTCTTCGACGGTGTGGTTATGCATGTGTGTATGGTGGGTGTCCGTCTTGTAGCCCCATCACTCTATAGTGGCGGAAACACACTGGGAAGAAAGAAACATTCCGGGAAAAGGGAAGTCACACAAGAGAGAGGGAGCGGCTCAAGGAGGGGAGGAGGCTCTGTGGTCTGTGCCTCCCACAGATGTATTCCAACAGGACCCTTTGGGTCGAGGATCGCTACGCATTACGCTGCGGTGGGTGCGACGCCCGCTTTTCCATTGTGCGGCGCCGCCACCACTGCCGCCAATGCGGCCAGGTGTTTTGCCGCGACTGTCTCATAGCGCCCTCCGCAACAGTCGCCCGAAACATCATCGCCGATACCATTTCTTCACTTGTTGGGTTTCAGCGCGAGCCAACAATGAAGCTGTGCCATAAGTGCAAGCGCATTCTTGTGCAGCGAGGCGATGTGGGCCAAAGGCCTCGGCCAAGACCATTCCCCGCGAGGAGGACAATCACACACACACCGACAATAGCAGGCAGCCACTCCGCGAATGGAGTGGCAGGCCAACACGTCGCCTCGGCGAAAACGATGACGACAACAGCAGATGCGGTGTCTCTGGAAGAGAGTACGAGGAACAAGAATTCTTTCCATGCAGGTGTCAACGCAGGGGAAATGTCCTTCGTGTGTCATGGGACTCATCAGGCTTCAGTGTCGTTCTGTGACACACCACCGAGTGCAATTTGTCAGCCACTGGTTAAAAGACTATCGACGCACCCAGAGGATATGAAGCAGCAGGAAGTAGCGTATTGTTTGGGGGATGTCCCCATGCACAGCCGCAATGGCATGTCGGAGTTGCTCGTCAGGTTGTTCAAGGATGCACGCAAAAAAAAGGTAAGCAAGCCCCCTCAACTGACGGAGACGATGATCCAGGCGCGTGTGTATGTTCCTTATCCAAAGGCATCCTTTCGCTACATGGAGGGTGTCCCAGAACCAGTTGACTGCGCAAATATATTTTCCTCATCGCCATTAACAGCGAAGAACTTGAGATGCCTGGAGTGGGAAAGCTCCCGTCACTTGATCAAGCGTGCTTCGCGGCTTTTCATGCGTGAAAATTCTTTAGTGTCATCAATGAATGGAGCAGCGATTGATAAGATGGAGTGGATTGCTGGCGTATGCGATGTGTCCTGGCGGGTGGTATCACAGACGGCTGTGGTACTGCATAATCGCGTGACGGAACATTTTGATGTTATTTGCATACCCAGTGGGACGTTTGGTGACACGGTAATCATTTCTGGAGTTGCGTTTGTGCAAACAGTCGCATCTAAGCGAATGAAGACGTGCGTGAATTCACCCAGTATTCTCCTCCTCGGGGGAGACGTGGGCACCACATTGAACCCAGGCACCGACCTTTTGGAGCATCTGAAGGGATATGAAGGATACTTGGATAAGCAGTATCAACGCATAGATCTCTGGAAGCCCTCGGTGATTGTTGTGGAGGGCAACATGCACCATTACCTACAGGATAGAATCCTTCGCCATTCGGAGGCCACACTTATCCTTCATGCGGGGGGAACTGTTATGGAGCGTCTTGCTGCATGCTGCAACGCGAGTGTGGTCCAGGATCTGCAATACGTCAGCCTAGAAGACCTGTACAACGCCTCTGTGCTTGGGACATGTGAGACATTCCAACTTGTCCATGTTGGTGGTAAACCTGTTTGTATGTTTAAGGGACTTCGAGCGGCTCTATTTACCACAGTGCTCCTCCGTGGAGGAGATGGGAAGCAGCTGGAGGCTGCCAAGAGGTTACTGGTTAATTGCACCACTACGGCATACCATCTCGCCATTCAAGCTCACTGTCTGTTTGATCTGGGTATAAAGTATGTGTTACCGCTTCCGGATGCTACTGTTGCTGCCAAAGTGGTTGTCAATGAGGATAGTAATAATGGCGGTTCACCTCCATGGGGGGAGGCGTCGTCCTCGCACATGCGTGAGTGTGAAGAATACATGCAGCTGGTCGCCTGTTCGCCAAGGATTGAGGATCGAGTTGAGGCGCTAACCATGAATCTCGGTGTTAGCTTCTCTGATGAAGTGGCAAATATAGATGATGATTACGACGACTTAATGTTGGATAGCATTATTGTGAATACTGTTTTCCTCGATAGCAATGCGAGTAGTGCAGGGGTAGAGAATGCACCTGGGGGTGTGTCTGGGACATCCCCCAACGACGGTGTACGACAGTCTCGCGAGGTGTTTCCCTTCTATTGCGAGGGAGATGAGACGCTCCTGGAATACTTGGCGGGAAGGGCAAAGGAGAGTGATTCCATGCACATCATCCTGCACGGTAACAAGCGCATCTGGGTAAAGACAGCTACTGACTTTAGCAGTCTCCAAGGAAGGCGCACGGCTGTTGCACATGGTGCCTCGCAGCAGCAGCAGTCGTTGTCGTCGTCGTCGTCACGCCCCTCATTAGCACAGTCTTCCTTGTCATCTCTCCTTTCTGGGAAGGTTCGTGATGAAAGTCACATCCTACCTGTGCGCGGGTATGCTTCTTGTAAGGGTTGCTTCGACAGCGCTGGAGGAAGTTTGGCCTCCTCAACGGCTGGGTTGTGCTCGTTGCACACACTCAATCTTTCATGGGGAGCTTTCCTGGAGCTTCTTATATACGGTTCATCTTCATTTTTTTTAGCATGTGGGCACAATCTAAGTCAGAGCTTCTGTATCTCTTTTGTTGTCTCTCCCAACTCCGGTGTGGATGTCACAATCGTTATCATGGTGGAGGATCTTACCGTGTATAATATTGTCCCTCCACCCATGACAATGCCGTCTTCTGGCGATGCCCCCGAGAGGTATTTGAAGGGTGAAATTGAGGAGCTGCAGCGGTGTGTCGTAGAAATACGTGCCGCTATCCACACAGCATCCACTGCGGTAGCTACCCAACAGCCACCCTCAACGGTACCGTCGTCTTCGTCGCCGCCGGCTCTACAAAAAGGCGAGAATTCTCCCTTTTCTTCAGCACTTCACACGCGTGGCGCCAGTATGGCTGTGGATTTGCCATCTTTGCATGATGAGCAGGCGATGGCGTTGCTGCAACAGACGGAGAACCTCCTCAACAAGTTGCCGTCTCTGGATACACTGGAAGGTGTTATAATAGTGCGCCTGGATGATCTGGCAAATCTTGTAAATTCCTTTCAGGAATGGTATAACGCAAAGGTGCCAGTCGCGGAGCGTCGTATTGGCGGAAAACCCCCTTTCATTGTGGATACAACAAAGCTCGAGGACCCTTACTGGGCATATAGCCTACATGATGCTTGCGTTATTCGATTAAATGAGCCAACTTCCCTCGTCGCGGTGGCAATTCAGGCGACATCGCTTGTCACCGACAGTAAACCTGAATTCCCTCGAGGCAGCACAAGTTCTACTGAGACCCACCAATTTCCCAAAGCATCCCCAAGTGAACAGATTGAAGATTCTGGATCCCCACCCGCAGCGAACGAGCCACGTGATGTAGATCTTGAAGAAACCATGGAGGACATGCTTGGTATAGGACCATCTGTGTCACCAAACATCCAACCACACACACCATGCATGCGCTCCACAGCCGACGCGCTAGACGTCCTTGCTGGTCGAGGGGGGACAGTAAAAAGAACATTCAAACATGCCATGGAGGTGTTGATTCCGTGGGACAAAACAGAACAAGTGAGTGTAACAGTGGAGGTAATGTTTCCGGAGCAGTTTGCGGCGTTGCGGTACATGTACACTGAAGGACGAGTCCATGAATTAGCACCTTCCCTCTCCCGCTGCCGGGCGTTCAAGCCGCAAGGAGGTAAAACCAAGTCGTGCTTTTTTGCCACACTGGATGATCGTTTCGTTATGAAACAGCTAAAGCAGGCGGAATTAAAGCATTTTGCCGAATTTGGACAAAACTACTTTCTCCACATGTGCCAAATGTACACCAATATAAAAAGCACTACCGGGGACAATACGAATGTACCGTTTGGTACAATCCTCGGTAAGGTTTTCGGTGTTTTCTCTGTGCATATCAAGCGGCAAAAGCGATGTTTAGACATCCCGGCCGAAATAAGATACTATGCTCTAATGGAGAACGTATTCTACTCACGTCAAGTTGGCATAACTTACGATCTCAAGGGCAGCCAGCGAAACCGAACGGCGCAGGAAGGGTCGTCCGTCCTTCTCGATCAAGACCTTGTTGCTACCTTCCGACAAGGTTCATTCTTTTACTGCCGGAATGAGGCGAAGAGTCTTCTTATGGACCAATTAACGTACGATGCCCACCTTCTCTCCACGTCGTCTATTATGGATTATTCGCTCGTTGCCGGCCTTAACCACGGAAGTGCTCAGTTATACCTCGGCATCATTGATTACCTTCACCCTTACACGGGTGCCAAGGTAATTGAGTCCAAGGTAAAAGCGGGTATTGAAACGGTTCTTGGCCACCCGGGGCGGGATCCCACCATCATTGACCCCGTCAGTTATAGAGTGCGGTTCGCCAAACGAATGAATGAGTGCTTCTGTGGGGTACCTGAAAAGACATTTGCAGTCAAGCGCTTAATGGCAAAGAAGAAGAAACGCAACTCTCAATAGCATACCAAACGTTATACGTTTCTTTTTCTTTTTCGCCCACCAGCACAGAGGCGTGAAAAGCGGTTTTTACCAGTTTTATTTTTGCATTTCCGTAAACACGTGTTCGTGAATCAAACGGCTCTCACGGAGGCGCTCCCCTTTCCGCGTCTACCAATACAACTAAAAAAGCGGAAGGATAGCAGGCGATGTCGCCAGTGCTCGGGGGAGCTGGCCCTTTCTGCGCCCCGACCAGTGGGCAAGAGAGGAATCGACTTTCCCTTTAGGTGCAATATTTTCCAATCCGCCCCCGACCCCCAGCCCCGGGAAATTATGATGGAACAACGGCCAGCATCGCGACCAAACAAACCGCACCGTATACGGTCGCACAATTCAACCGTTAGAGTGGTGCACCTGCAAACGCCGCGGGGGCAACCCAAAAGGCAGATACACCAATAAAACAAAATACGAAACGTAAAGACAAAAATCAAAGGGTACGGCACCCCGGGTTCCAGCGCCATCACTGATCGCCGTACTAGCGGGGCCTGTGGCCGCTTAACTTCACAAATCGGACGGGATATGGTGCATTCGGCCAAGTATGGTCGTACCCGGCAGATTAGATTGATTTTGGTGTTTTCGAAACCCCATGAAAAGAGTGTGTGCAATGAGAAGTTATTCACTAATTCTTTGGGTAATAGTTCTTCGTTTGTGATAAGTATCACTTGGTTTGTATGATGGGAGTTGTGGATACTGTACACGGTGGAGGTTTGTGGTGTTGATGTAGTTTTTAATTGTGGTAGGTATTGTTATATCTTTGCTTGGTAATGGCTTGATGGTGTCTGTTAGAGAACACAATGTAGGGATCAGGGAGATGACGTTAGAGCCCTATGCGCAGGAACAACGTAACAAGAGTGGTGAAATGGTGGTTGAAGATGTGCCTCAGCAGTGAGGTGTAGGGGTCCGTTTGTCTTACATGATG